GGCTCAAGAAAGCCAGCCCCCAGCCAGCCCGCCCGGCGCCCGCTCTTGTTTGGTGTTGACAGGGAGCGTTTCGTCAGGTTTTGGGCGGCCTGGAGAAGGGTGCCGAGCCCCGGCAGCCGTGACCGTGCCACACCGTCCGAGGGAGGGACCGGCAAGAGCCAGCGCGGTCCAGCTGCCGAGGTGCCAGACCCGAGATCCCGGAACGGGGGTCGAATCGCCACGTCCGCCTTAGCCCGCTCGGCCTGGCCGCGCTTCGCTTCCCCGTCTCCCCGCTCAGAGTGAAAGCCATGGCCTGGAGGGCGCGCGTCCGACGCCGGGACGGGCCAAGCCCGAGGTGTGAGTACAGGTGCCTGGAAAGGTGCCTCCGTGTCGGGCCTCCGGCGCAAACAGGGACAAAGCTGCTCCTGCGAATCCGGAGAGCCCTGGCAAAGCGTTCGGTTTGCTGCCCTGATCTCCTGTTTCCAGCCGCCCCTGCCGCGGAAATTGCACCGCTGGCTTTTTCTGCTCTCCGTTCTCGCTGCCCGTGCCCGGGCAGGCAGGGAACTTGCGAAAAGGGAAAAGGGAAAAGGGCTGTCCCCTCAGCCTGCCACCCAGGAGCTCTTCAGAGGGAGAAACTGCAGACTGGCAGGGAGCAAGGCGAGGTTCTCCCTGCCTTGCCCCGTGGATGATGTCCCTGTGCGGGAAGCTTGCGGTGGGGAAGAGCATCTCCTGGCTCCCGTCGGGAGGTTTCCCCTCCCAGGTGAGAAGTGGCCGCGACTGCCCCCGGGGAGCTGGAAGGTGCTGCTTGGTGGATGCTCTGTTTTGAAGTCTTTAAAATTTCTGTGATCGATTCCCTTAGAGAAATTGCAGAATACTGCTGCTCGCGGGCTCGTGCGCGGTGCCGGCTGGCCGTATCGCTGCTGCGGTGTATCGCAGCGGTAATCCTGGTGAGCAGCGGGACCCGTCTCTGAGCTGCCCAGTGCAGAACGCATCATCTCTGCCCGAGATTAAAAGTGGCTCAGTGAAGAGCAGTGTTTAGGATGAATTTGAAATTGGGTTTCTAGGCATTTCTTGGACACAGCTCAAGAGTGCGTGCGACATTTCTGGTAATCTGGCGGCACTTCGTTTTGTGCCTGAGCAAAGTGGGGATTGTTCTTGTGGATGCAGATTAAAGTAGCACAGGATGAGATTATCCCCCAGATCAGGGATGGAAATAGGATGCAGTTCCTCAGCAACTGAGATATCTGAAAATGGAAAGCTCCACATCTGCTGCGGGCCGCGAGCAGGGACCGGCACCCACCCCCGCCTCCCGGTAGCCCAGCAAGGGCGAGAAGGGAGTACCAGGAGCCCAGCCTAACATTAGAAGTCCAGACTAACCTGGAAGACTTTAACGCCCTCTAATTACAGAGGGCTGAAGACAGCGGGGAGCGCCGGGTGACTCCCAAAGGTCTGCAGCAGCTCGCCAGCTCAGCGCTTCAGCGTCGGTGGTAGGGAATAAACCTGAAGCGCCAGTATAATAGGAAGGAGAAGCCCCGGGGAAAAAAAATACTTGAAAGACGTCAGGGTGGTGATGGAGCGTGGGCTGGGCCCGAGCCGGATTGCAGCCTAGCAGAAAAAGCCAGACCCAGTCACGCCGGGTTCCCCGGTGAGACCCAGCTGGAAGCAGAGAGGGGGGGAGGAACATCGCAAGTGCCATGCGGGGCAGCTGGCAACGCTCACGGCTGCTGGAAAAAAATCTACGCGGCTGGGAGATAAAAAGTGCAGCTTGGGACTCCGAGGTGCAGAGGCCTTATCTGTAAACGGAGATTAGAGCAAGGTAATCTCTACGTTTACTGTGCGAGGCGCGGGTGGCCAGGAGGAGAAGCTAGTGGAAGGAATGAGGGCGTTGGAAGGGGGGCTGAACCAGATCGACCTGCGGAGTGCGGGAAGAAGTACGTGTGCGAGCTGAAATGGGACAATCCGGACTCTTGGGAAATCAGGCTAACGAGTTGCCCTTCTCTAATTGCTGCTTCGGAGGAGTTGAGAGGTGGCCTGCAAAAACGTCCGGCCCTCTCCTCCCCTCCCTGCCCCAGCGCTGCCTGGGCACGGGTCAGTCCTGGGCTTCTGGTCGAGGACTTCAAACCAATTTGCTCGTGCTCCGGTGTGCCTCTTCTGTGGGAAGCGTTTCTGCACTGGTCGAGGGGGGGAAAAGCAGCGGGTTTCTTTTTATGAATGCTCTACAAGTTGAAATTTGAGTGGTGTTAAACCCAAAGTGCAGCTGGGATGAGGGTGCAGCAGCGCAGGCTTTGGGGGTGCAGCACGAACCTCTCGCCTTCCCTCGTGCTGCCGGCCCTTGCAAACCTAGCCGTGCTCCGAAGCGCTTGCAGGACGGCTGGGAAGGAGAGGGGCCGTGAAAGTGCGCAGCGAAAGAAGGGCTCGGGTTTATTTTCCGAAGTCGGGGTTGCGCTGGGTGGGTTTTCCTGCTGAACGACCAGCCCGTCTGCAAACACAATGATTCCCATAGCTATTTATAGAGCTGGGAGCCCTGGCCGGCCGGCCTCCTCCATCACGTAACCCGGCGCTCCCCGCCGAAGCGGCCTCCGCCAAGGTTTTGGCTCTGGCCGCGCCAGCCTGGGGAGGGTAAGGAGGACCATATGTCCCTCAACTTCAGCCAAGCGCGCAGCTGTGCTCGATTCTCCCGTCTGGTGCTGACTTGTTAACTCTTTGGGGGCGAAGGGGAGGAACGTGGCTCACGCCACGCTTGGCGTAAGAAAGGGGCAGAAACCGGCCAGAAGTGGGACTCGCGAAGGGCGCCTTGCCTCCCAGGAGTTCCTCAGTCCTGCTGTGACTAACCCTGTTTGTTCCGCCGTGGGTTACCCTCCCGAATTAGGTAAGGAAATGGTCTAATGGTCCGCCTGGAAAGAGCGGATAACCGTATGTGTGATTCCGGGGTGTCGAAGTGCGTTATCCAGATTATTAATAACTCGCCATGCCTTATGCTGCTCCGTCGCAGGAGCCTGAAGCGTTCCTGCATGTACACTCTCCTCCCAGGACGGTTCGTTCCAACCGCAGTGCCATCTCGCCGTCTGCTGCCCCTTGTCCTTACCCCTCTCCGCCCGCCGGACGGTGCCACAGCCCCCCGACCCGCTCGAGGTGGACATGCAGCACCGCCTGCCTGCCGTTCCCTCCGCACGTGGCTCACCGCTGGAAAAACGCTTGCCTGCGAGATCAGCTTGCTTCCCTGCCGCGCCGACCGCATCGCCCTGCGTTATCTCCGTCTCTGCATCAGGCTCTCGCCTCCTGCGCTCCTCTTGCAGCGCGGCGGGTACCTGCGCCTCTGGGCTTGCTGTCCTCTCGCACTCGCTCCTCTGTCCCAGCCTTGTCTCCCTCGGGGTCGGCTGCCCCCTTTTATGCCCCGCTTGGGTGCTGCCTGCTGCCTGAGGAGTCCTTCCCCACCTCCTGCCGACTCAGTTCACAAAGTCTCTGCCCTCCCTGCATCAGATGTCTCAGCGCGGTGACAAGGGGACCTTGCTCTTGCTCCGCTTTGTAATTCCAAGGAGCGGGAGCCCGGTGGGATGAGGCAGCCGGCTGGGCCTCGCGGCGTCTGCTCTGAAGCCGGGGCAGCGTGTCTCACGTAGCACAACCCAACTGCCTCGGTGGACTTTGCACCAGCGCGGTGCCTGCAGGATCAGACCGCAGCTGCAGGGAGGTGGGCAGAGGGCGGGTAGCTGCAGTACTTGTCCGCTGCTGCCAAAGGGGTCGGGTGAGGGGCCGGGGGCAGAGGGAGCAGACCTGCCCCCGGCAGCCCTGAGCCGCCGTCGCATCCGCTGGCTCCTGCATCCTGCCTCCTGCTTCTCCCCCTCGGCTTTGAAGGGCAGGGAACGCTGACGGCCCTGCAGCGAGCTCTGCAGCAGGGCCAGATGATGCCCAGCCTTGTGCCTGGACCGCGGCGCTGTCTCTGCGCAGCAGCGGAGGGGCTAAGAGACACGTCCGCACAGAAACGTGGGTGTTTCCTCCAAAAAAGTCCATCCTCTTTAGACGCCGTCGGCGTTGGGACGGTGGTGGCGTGTTGGCATCTTCCTGTGGGAGCCGCGCTGATTAGTTTGCCCTCGGAAGTCTCGGTCACTTGTGCTAATTTGCCTCGGTGACTATTTCCAGGCTAACGGAGCCGGGACCGCCTGGTAGCCCCAGCTGGGGTCAGGTCCCGTGAAATCCGTAGCCTTTAAGCATCACCCAAATACCAAACGGGGGCCGAATTACTGTTTCCCAGCTCATGTTGTCCAGTACCTTTTCCAAGGGAGACCTACCTTGCCAGGCTGCTCTTCCAGCCCCGGGCGAGTATGGGAGCATTAAGAATGACGAAGATGTTTGTAAAGGCTGGCAGGGACCTCTCAGGCTGCCTCCCTGCCTTGCAGGCAGCCGCACGGCGTAGCTCCTCGGGATTTGCCGTCCTCCGGATCAGGGCGTGCAGCTCTCGGGAGGTGGTTTGTGTGCTCTGGATGTGTTTTCTGAGCTCTCAGTCCCCAGGTTGAAGAGGTGCTGGCAAAGCTCCCTGGTCTATGAATCAGGGCAGGAAAACAGAGCAGCAGTGGCAAGGAAGTCTGAATCTGTAGGAAAGGGGCTAAGTTGAGCAGCAACCTAATGCTCATGAATTTCATCTCTCAACGTTTGTAAGTGCATGAGAAACCCACAACCATGCCTTGTCACTAAACAAGCTCATTTGCAGCATTAGGAAAGAGTGAGAAATATTCCTCTGACTTAAACCTTGGTCTGTTCCATGAAGAGACTACAAGACCTCATCAGGGCATAGGAAACAAGTCAAGCTTAAAACACATCAGGCAGGGAAGCAGAGGGGGGTGTTAAAGGGTTCCCATTTTTGCTTGCAGCTCACTATAAGCGAGAAGAACCACAGGACAGAAACCGCCTTTCCGAGCCTCCCCTGAAAAGCATCAGTATTTACTTTTTTTTTTTTTTTTTTTTTTTGGATCTACTTAATTTTCCAGGGGAAGGGAGACACAAATCCAAGCAGCCTTCATTATAAGAAAGCAGATTTTTTTTAATTTATTTTAGTTTTAATGGAGAGCCGTGGCTCAGAGCAGCGAGCTTGCTGCAGCGTCTCAGCAATATATCAAAATCACCCTGGCGCTGTGCGTACTTGGTAGAGCGTCAACAGGCTGACAGTTACAGCGCTGCTCCAGTGACTCAGATAAATAGCACGCAGACCAAAACATACATTGAGCCTGGCTCGGCCAGACTGGAAAATGCACCCTTGGAAGGCGTTTTTCCAGGCGGGGACGGCTCTGCACGGCCGGGGCTGCTGCGAGGGGCTGCTGGCATGCTCCGAGCGCCGGCTGATGGGGAAGACCGTGACCTTGGGTCCTTGAGACCCAGCTGTGAAAAATGGGAGATGAAAAAAAAAAAACCACTTTGGCTGGGTTTTTGGGTTTGGGTTTTTTTTTTTTTTCCCTTTTGTGTTTGGGCTGCCGAAGCGGTGCATCACATAGGTCGCTGCTGTGCCGTCGCTGTCTGTGTGTGTACCTCTGCCCCTGGGTACCCGCTGCCCTTCGCCCGGTACCGGCCAGCACCGACGGGAGATTTGGGTGCCTGTCTTCCTCTTCGGTGAGTTTTTTTTCGCCCGGGGCATTC